TGTTGAACTTTTAAAAGATATGCTTACATCTTAATGCAATACTTAAATGCAGCGATCAATTTTGAGTTATTCTTTAGTTTATTTACTAAACTCCACAAGGACATCCAAAGTTGAGGATGGAATTTTTTCAAATGTAGTATTTTTGAAATTATCAGTTTCGTGTTTGTTCTCAGCTAAAATAAAAATATCTACACAGAGGACATAAATTTTCGGTTTAGTAAATTTTTTACATAACTAGTTTTCTACGTGGGATTAATAATAGTTAGAGAAGCACAGACCGGGGAATTTCCAACAGTTACTCTATTAGTTTTAGTGTTGTGGTCGTAGAAGAGGACTGTAGTTGTGCAGGCATGCAATAAGTTTTTGAGAATATTTGGTTAGATGGATGGAGATGGAATTGAATTATTTTTATATACGACGTTAACGAGTATATCAATATTTTTTATATAATGTTATGTACTGAAAAGAAAAAAAAATATGAGAACACATGAAAAATTATATAAAAACTTAACCACAGCACCTTCTCACTCATTTATAACGAAACTTGCATAAAAGAGGGATTGCTGCCCAAATACATTATATATATATATATATATATATATATATATATATATATATATATATATATCACGCAAATAAATATGTTAGCTCTATCACTAATATTAAGCCACTTTCCAATGAGTACCGCGCATATATAATATATAATTAATATATATAGGAATTGCATATATATATATATATATATATATATATATATATATATATATATATATATATATATATATATATATATATATATATATATATATATGTCAATTCAGCCCAAGTAATAATAATGTCACAAAGACACAAGAAGTTACTGGTAATGAAAGAGAATAAGAAGACTAAAGAAGGACCCGGAAATCTAATCCTAAACAAGAAACATGTGATAAACCCCTACTCCTGTTCAAAATCCAGGCAAGAGTGTGAACCGTATATATATATATATATTCTTCATTCTGTCGGATTTATATCCATTTATATTTGCTTATCATACTGTCCACTGGAAATACAAACCTGAATTCATTTTATTACATGGAGGACTGCATGCTTATCCGAAGATACAGGAATCTACTAGTCTCCGCGTATTCCTATAAGAACAGAAAAGGTTTTCTAACGAACTGTATATATGAAAAATCTTTCCATTGAATTCAATTCATAAAATTTTTAAGAATACGTTGTGAAAGGAAAGCGTCGCCCATTTGACGACAACGTGACCACGCTCAAACGGAAAGCTGATCATTTAAAATTTTTTTTATGTCCATCGTTTTCGTCGTGTTATACTGATTATGTTAATTGTATTTTTAATGAATATTGTCCTGAAGAAGGTTATTAAACCGAAACGTCACACGTCGACATTTCATTCATATTAAAACAACATAATCGCATTTTAAGGATTTTTGTTTTGTTTTTCCAGATATTTTCTTCATATATATATATATGTGTGTGTGTGTGGCCTGAGGGTGGCGTTACAAATTGAAACTAAGTGTTTACTATTATATTTATGTACGCTCTATTTCTAATACTGAGCACTATTACCCATAAATATAGCATACCTTCAAACTATATTTTTTATCATATATATATATATATATATATATATATATATATATATATATAAAATACTTTAGCTATTTAACTGTTACACTTCTGGTCATGGATCATCGGGCTAGGTTATATTTTTATAATTATTAATTACTTGTATATTTGCGTTTAATTAAGCCTTTACAACCAAGTCTCATGTAATGTAAGGAAAAGTTTTCGGGAACATCTTGCCAGAGAGAAGCAGTTAATAGACTCGCCTTAAGCCGATACTACTATTGTACGTTCGCTACTTGATAGGAGTCCCACACTTGTGACTTAGTGTGTGGTTTCGAATCTCACTAGATCCATTTGTAAATTTTTGCTAAAATTTTTCATGTTAGCAAAAATAATAATAATTATCCTAATTACGAAACTTATACTTTTCTAATATTATTTGTAATAAATAAAAAACTTTCTTAGCGTCAAATTCTTAATTGAAGAATATAATCCTAATTATAGTGTAAGATTCTAATTTCATCTCAAGATTTCGATCATAGAAAATGATTAACCTTTTAAAAATATATTTTTCTTAAATGAAAAAAAAAACAAAAAAAAAACACAACGCTGTAAACGCTGCTGCCGGACATCCAAGTTTGTATTGGTCGCTTTAGGTAACAGCTATCATTGACATGTTTTGTCTGACGTGAAAGGGGGTGAGTGGCTTGTGGGTGCCGGTGGGGTCACAAGCCAAACAATGCAACTGAAAGGATGAAGTTTGCAACCGTCAATTGAAAAAGGCGGGAAAAAAACATAAAATGTGTCGGGGAAAAATATTCTGATGAATGCCACTGAACAAAAACACAAGACGTGACTGTAATTGTGAAAAGTTTTAAATGGCGTTCAGGAAAGGGATGTCCAGAGAGGAGGAGAAGAAGAAGAAGAAGAAGAAGAAGAAGAAGAAGAAGAAGGAGAAGAAGAAGAAGAAGAAGAAGAAGAAAGAAAGAAAGAAAGAAAGAAAGAGAGAAAAGCAGAAAGAACAGAGAAATAACAAAAGTAAAAACGAAGAAGAAATGTGTAGGTGCTTGACTCCTTGTGTGAATATATATGAATATGGCTGCCCGTCCGTTCCCGAGTACTCCCCTCTACTAGAGTGGTGCCGACGACCGCTCAGACACATGTGTGTTTCTTCAACACCAACAGAGCCAACCTATACTGCAACTATGCTGAGCAGACCTTAGTTACGGTTTCTACGAGAGAGCGTAATACCCGGCGTGAACAGTCGTTCAACAAGGACAATATGCTCAAACCTTCGGTCACGATGACACAATCACCGACTGAACAGTTTCTGCTGTCTTCATTAAACCCGTTTATAACGTTCAAGCACTTCCTAACCGCCTCCTTATGCTGATATTCACAAGAATTATTATTTTCATGAGAAATCGAGATTTGAACCCGTTTCTCATGGTCAGAAAGCTAACGTCCTCACCACTCGGCCATATGCGTGTACATATAAGTTCATTATATTTATTAAGATTAACTTAATATGACACAACCTCAACTGGTGCCAAGTAGATTTTGATGTGCTACTCTTTCAGTTAAAGTGAACTTCCCTACCTTAAAAATGCTTATTCGTTAGTATTTTACATGTGTTCGAACCTTGATCACAGGCACCTTGCAGAAAATTACGGTCTTAGCTATAAGACAGGTTTTGTAAGCTTGACTTAAAGCGTATTTTTTTCATTGAGTTGACTCCAAACAATGCAATAAAGCTACTAAGAGACAAGACGTTACTGGGTTTGGAAGAATTAGAAAACAGAAACATTAGTAAGGAGCGAGAACAAAAGAAAAACAATCAGGAGGACGGTAGATAGCGATTGACATTGCATTAATTTTTCGAATAATAAAGTTGGCTGGAAAGCATGGAGCCGGAAGAGAGTTCCACGAGCGAGATGCCCGCAAGAAAAAAAAAACTTAGCATAGAATTTGCGGTTAAATCTAGCCAACTCAAATGTAAATTGATGAAACCTCAATACCAGTCTAGTACTGCGCTTAAATTCATAAAGTCCAGTTATCATAGCGAAGAGATCATCCGAACAATTAGCACGAAAGTATTCATGCAAAAAAGCAGATGAAGTAAACTTTACGGCGGTTGAAAAGTCTCTGATTCCGAGACGCCAGATCAGGACCTATAATATTGCTGATTCTTCTTTGGATTTTATCAAGGATCTCTAGATATACAGATTACATCTATATATGAGATTACTTTAATGCATATTCATGCTTGCGACAATTTGTGTATGTGTGTGATCCTAGTAACAATTTCAGGGAACTTGAATATAAAACAAAGTTACAAAGCTAGTTTCCACCGTCTCCTTCGAAGTAGTCTCCTGTTCAGATTCTATGAAATTTCGGCTGGCGGCTCCATTATACATACTCCATTTAGTTCTTTTTATCGCAAAAATGTTATAATGTGTAGAAGATTGTAATGAACTGTTCTCTCAATGTACCAATTTCTATGTGAACGCGTGGATGTGCACATAGCATATTGGTTATCGACATGGAAAGTGGCATTGGCGTGCAGAGTTCAAATTCCAGTCGAGGACGTTGTGTTCTCTTCCATAAAAATACCTTTGAGAAAGGTATGAACCTATCTTTTCTTCCTCCTACGAATGCAAATCGTGATCAATAGCATTGATTGTCAAGGAAATCCAAAAGTGGTTGAGTGTAGAACTAGCCATTGCACTCTGTAAAAACCTACTTGTTACATAAACCACAGCAGCAACGTCTAGCATGTTGTAGCTGTGACCCTATGCTCCATGTTGGAGTTTATGGGACTTGTATACGTGTATGACTTGAAGTTTTCTGCGTGCTAGACTTTCGCTTTAATCTATGCATATGAATTTCTTGTGCGTATATAATTTTTATTGTGGTATTTGTTGAACTACAACGAATCTGACACAAGACCTCATTTCTAGAGCACTTGATCAACACCATAAGAACTCACAATGACTTGCCGGACTAGCTTACTTATCGAACAACTTCTTTTATATGCTGTGTCCCCTCAAGTCTTTGGCGATCATGGCTCTCCACAATTCCCTCTCCTTTCTAGCTCTTAATAAATTTTGTCCTTTTGTTATCACTCCTAAACCTTGTTCCGCCATTTACTCAAGCTCTGTAGGTAGTTTATGCGTTATTTTTTTTGTCCCTCTTGTATTCAATCTGTCTTGTGAGTATCAAATTTTCCAAGCCATCTTTCCTCATCATGTGCCCTAGAAATTTCAACTGCCTCTTCCCGATGTTAAGTATAAATGTCATTTTTGTTTTCATTTTCTCTAAAACTTCCTCGTTACTCACACATTCGGTCCATGGTATTCTCAGCATCCTTCTGTTGAAGCACATTTCTGTTGCTTCCTCATCTGTGAGGATGCTTACGGCTAAATCACATTGCGGTTCTCGTACGGTTACCGAAGTTAAGCAATGTTGAGCCTGTTTAGTACCTAGATGGGTGACCGCTTGGAAATACCCGGTCCTGTAAGCTTGGACGTGCTGTTGGTCTAATGGATAACGACCCGAAATTGGAAATCATCAATACCCTTGGGAAAGGTATGAATCTATCTCTTCTACCCCCCAGCTATGGGTTAATTAGTAGGACATGTATCAATAAATCATTATCATGTCAAAAATATTCTTAGAATCTAAAAATATTTTCTGGCTTTAAATAACCTTCAAAGGCTGTCGAAAACAAATCATTCAATTAATCATATGTGAGGAGACTGTTCAGCATTCACTGCCATGTGGGAGAAGTGATATTTCGTAACAGTCCAGTACTCTTTTGTTTGTTTCTAACGAATTGTTTTTTGTATCTTAATACTTTGCTTAGCTTTTGGAAGTCATTATGTCAATACACCTTCGGACTTCAGTGCCGCACTTTCCATCCTCTGTTAAAACACATTTCAGTTATTTAAATTGTACTTTCTTCATTTCGGTATCTCCATGTTGTAATTTACATGTTGGGCTGTTCGTTTTAGTAACAAATATACATTCTGTCTTCTTGCAATTGATGTTTAATTCTTTCTTTTCGCTTTCCTTCACCACCTTCTGTAGGGGCCACAAGCTATATAAATATAAATTATAAATTTTGTTTATTCTGGCACAAACTTACACCCAGTGAAGATCTAATTCACTCCCCCTTCCAATGGTCTAGGACAAGGGTAGGTAAACTACGACTTGCAAATCAAATCCGGCCTTACCTGATATTTCATCTGGACCATCGGTCATATGGAATAGGCTATTAATTCCTAAATAATAATATTTATATATTTTCCCTTAATATTATTAGCTAAAAATAAAAATATAATTTGCTTTTATATCTAATATGTGTGTTTGTAGGGTGTTTCTTCAGGTCATAACGAAAGACAAAACTGTGTATAAGGAAAGTGCGTTGGAATTTTTTAGGATAAGAGAGGCAATGAATTAAATTACCTTATCAGATCCGACGACCAGAAAACAGAACGTGCTTATTTGTTTGTTTGTCATATATATATATATATATATATATATATATATATATATTAGACATGATTTTGTAAGTGTAATGTAAGTATAATGTGAGAATGAACGGAAATCATAGTATCTAAAATAAAAAAGAAATGACAAATAAAACTTATTTTTAAAAGGCGTTTCGTTCATTGAGGAACTTCATCAAGACTAATGGAAATTATTATCTATGCATATTTAAAAGGCAGTTGTTTCTATGTGTGTCCCCCGGCTAAAACTAAAAAAAAACTACAGTAATTAATGACAAAGTAAATATATATACAGACTCATTATCACCCAAGCCAGCTTTTTGCAAAAAAAATATCATCGTATGATTTGTATTTAAGAAGATATTTTAAAGTTAAAATGTATTAGAATCAATATGAAAATCTTAGAATTAAAAAATAAAAACGAACTGTAATAATTCTTATTTTTTAAAGCAAAAACTATAACGAGTCTTACTTCTTTGAAAAATAATTATTTACTATTTAATTTGGAGGAGATTATTATTAATAAAAAAAGTAAATAAACTTAAATTAAGATATATTTAAACTTGAATTTATATTCACATCTATAATAAATAAACGCGTAACTCAAAAAATGAATATTAAAACAAAGTAAATGTAAAAGAAGAATATTAAATACAATATTCGTTTATTTATTCAAATATTATTGTGTGTGTGTGTGTGTGTGTGTGTGTGTGTGTGTGTGTGTGTGTGTGTGTGTGTGTGTGTGTCCGGCTACAAAATAAATATACATATAAACCTCTTACCTACGCCTCCCATCAACGGACTTAGATGCAACGGGCAAAATCTGCAGGCAAAATAAATTATTTCTATATAATAGATTTTAGAGCATTTTGAAATATGATCCTTGCTGCCTACCCAATGACCGTTAGAATAATACAATAAACTATCTGACCTTGCTACCCATAATGCCCCATTCACCAGCATATATAAATAGTCGAGCTAGAACACAACACACATGGCCTGAAGATTGCGGTCAACTATGAAACAAACTGTTGTCACTATATTTTAGCATATATATAGCCAACTTTAATCTGTAAAACTTAAATGCAATGTAAAATCGCTATCTACTGTCCTCCTGATTACTCTTCTTTTGTTCTTACTCCTTAGCAATGTTTCTGTTTCTAACTCTACCACACCCATTAACCCTTTGTGTCTCAGTGACTTTACTGCTTTGCATGGGTGAATTCGATTATATATATATATATATATATATATATATATATATATATAGGAGGTATATATGTGAATGTCTCCGGGTGTAAAAAATGTGTGTGCGCGTCCGTTGATGTGTCTACAAACGAATGCGTGCATACTGACATGAGTATGGTGTATATACTGGCTGTAATTAAGCTTTTCAAATAATGTATCCGCTACCAAGTTTGCCCCTCCTTTATTCAGTTTAGGATTAAGAGAGCAAAATTACATCATGGTTGGAAGATTGAATGCATCTTTATTGAAGATTTTATTCCACAACTTTCAACCAGAAACCTGGCTTTAAAGCAGGAATATGAATATATGAGTGTAACAGCAAAAACTCTCCAAATCGTGTAACATCATAATTGCCCATCCCCCAAAATGTTTAATATCTAAAACACTACTAAACTAAATGAGTTTCTTTTTTCTAGGTTTACAGATCATACGTTTATGCATACTTGATACCATTTGTTGTAAGAATCAATGAAAAAGGCTTTGAGTTATTCAGCTAGAAAGAGAACAGATTAAAATCCTTCTGTTTCAGCCCCATTGTCTTCCCAACTGAGCAATGGTGAGAGGAAAAAGACCATTCAGCCCTTCCGTAATGGTACCAACATTCATACTCTGGCTTCCATCTTCAAAGTCCATTCAAGAACCATCAAGAAAATATATACATTCTTTCTAACGCGGGTACCTCGCAGGGCGCTATCCTTGGTCCTACGCTGTTTTTAATCTTCCTTAACTACCTTCCTGGTGTCATCTTGGCATTTACGTTGACGACACTACCATTTACTTTTGCCTCGATAGTAAGGCAGGAGTAAATAGTAAGTCCGACAAAATCAAAATGGCAGCTGGTGTCCAAACTGACCTGAAGACCGTCATTAACTAGCGTAAAAGATGGCTTGTCAACTTTAACGCGACCATAACTAAACTCCTCCCCATTAGAGAGACCCTGCTCTGTCTGCGATCTGTATGGCTGATGATATCCTCCAGGAAAATGACTCATTACGCCTTCTCATGATAACGTTCTCAGCTGACATAAAGTGGAAAGACTATATTGAATCCATTGCTAGGACAACTGCTGAGAAAGTCAGTTCACTGTGCCGAGCGAGACAATTTTTCTCTCCGGAATCTATCTTGCATATCTATAAATCTACCTTTCACCCATGCTTAGAATATTGATGCCATATTTGGTCCGGAGCCCCTGCTGTTTACCTGGAGCTCCTTGATAAGATCCAAAGAATAATCAGCAATATTATTTGTCCTGATCTGGCAGTCATTTGCCCACTACCGTAAGGTTACCTCTCTGTGCCTTTTATAGTAATTGTTCGGGTGAGCTCTTCACTATGGTATCTCGACTGGCGGCGAGATTTCATCAATTTACAGTAGAGCTCGATAGATGTAGCCGTTACTTCTATGCTGACAGTTTTTTTCTCGCACCTCTCATCCGTGGAACTCCTTTCCAGCTACATACTTTCCAGCCAACCTTAATCCGCAAAAGTTTAAATGCAATGTTAATCTCTATCTACTGTCCTCCGGATTACTCTTTTCTCTTTCTACTCATTACTACTGTTTCTGTTCCTAATTCCTCCACAGCCTGTAATACCATGCTTGTTAGTGGCTGTACTGCCTTGCAAGATACCGATTAATATATATATATATATATATATATATATATATATATATATATATATATATATATATATATATATATTATATAAATTTATGTAACCTTTTTACATCACTTTGGGTTCATTTGAATACCAGAGTACATAGACGGTATTCTTCATAATATAAATCTATTAGATATAATAAATAAACTTAATAAGGTTGAAACTAACGATGAATTCATGCACGAATGTAAAATAAACAAATCTCTACCTTTCCTCGATGTCTTATTAATACGCAACAATAACAAATTAGATTTTAGAGTCTATCCTAAACCCACTAAAAAATGGTCTAATTAATTTGTATTCCCACCACAATCAAAAAATAAAATCAAGATTAGTCATAGGAATCTATGAGTATGATAAGAGCCCTTAGGATATGTAGCCTAGAATACCTAAGTGAAGAAGAGAAATATATTGAGAAAAGATTTAGACCAATAGTACTTCTAGAAACAATAACATAAAATTCATAATCCTACCCTCTAACACTCTTTCTATTTAACTTGTAAAATTGCTTTGGATTTTTACCACCACGTCCAAGACAATCGGAGATATAATTAGAAAGAAAAATAAACCCAGCTCTAATTCAGATGCCTTATGTACTTATCAAATAAATTTTAACAATGTAAAATAATTTATCTCGGAGAAACATCACGGTATCTAAAAGCCCGTATCTACGAACATAAAAGAGATTTAGATTTAGACAACTATTTAAACTCTCCCGTAATGGACAGTAACAAAACTGGCTATAACTTTGATTTTACTAAAGCCATCCTAATTAAAAAAAAGAACATAATGCTTTACGGAGAAAGTACTTCGAGGGCTTGCTTATAACAATATTATCAATTACAAACAGACGTTAAAATATTATATTACATCACCAACCATTAATGAATCTATTCTTAAAGAATCTAACGTATGTTAATCTAAAACAAATGGTTTCTACGTAAAAAAGTTTCCAAATCAACATGAGAAAAACGAACGAACATAATATCTACGACACACACACACACACACACACATTTACGAATATACATTATCATCAAAGAATCTCACATAGACAAACTAAAATTATTATACACTTACATACATAAATCAATATTTAGGGTT